ACCGGCGGCAGGGGGGCCCACCACCGGAGGGGAGCACAACACACAAAATGGGGGCCAAAACTGATCCAAGAGAGGGGACCATCTAAAACCCAACCTGAGACAAACAGGCACACAGAGACAGCCCGACAGTTCCTCCAAACATGTTAACTACAACTAATTAACAATTGGAGTTAATTCCGTTTAAAATGGCCGCCACGGCTAAGCAATCTTAACAAATCCTACATCAGCTATAATTTTGTGACTTTTTCAAATATTGAGCTAAAATTTGACGTGTCAGTAGCTGAGAGTCGTTCCTGACTCGTCGTCCTCAGAGTGCCGACCGATCGTACAAAATCTTTGTTAAAACGTTGCCATTGAGTCTTGGAGTCAAAATAATCCCTGATTGTATATCTTTCAGATTAAACTTTTGAAGGCAACTCAATTCAAGATGGCCACCAAAACTTATTAGCCTCATTCATCATAAAAATGACAATAACTTGGACACATTCACAGATAAAAACATACTAACTCAAACTCGTGATGGTCGGGGCAGAAACTGGAAGAGACCCAGCTTGTTTTGTTTTTACATTTTATTACAGAAATGTCCGGCAGTAAATCCCAGGGAGTGAGACAAATCCAAGCTGCAGAATATTTTTGCCTCAAGGTAATGAGAGAAACCTTTTTAAAACAACCTATCAGATCTTCTGTTAGAGCCAGAGAGCTGTCTGAGGGAGGACAGTTTGACCTGGCACCTGATCGTGACCGGACACACACTGCACAATAACTCTCCTGCACCCACTGAACATGCACTCTAAATCTTGAACTTAATCTTTTACTATAAATATCAGGATTTTGAAAGCTACATTTACATAGCTCAACTTCAGAATATTACAGTACTGTTTTATTACCTCCTATTGAAGAGTTTACATGGTTATTCCAAACTAAATATAGTCATGTTCTTATGTCCCAGGCTGCACCTGAAGGGGTACAGCGAGTTGTGGTAGTTATTAACTCTCATAAATAACCATATATTCCATTTAAGTACTTAAACAAAATATTGGCAATGTTAAAGTTTATGAATTAAGGTTTTTAGGAAGATTTGTGTTTTACGGACTACAGCAAAGACATGAACTTTTCTAACTCGGAACTGCCGAAAGGAGCCGTTCAGAAGATTTTAAAATCATTTAGGAGGACTTTGGATGTACTTCATGTGCCAAACCATGCAGAGCTTAAGGATAAACAGTTTTTAAATTACTTTTTTTTTTTTTTTTACCAGGAAGCCAGTGTAGGGGGTGCTCACACAGGAGGGATCTTCTCTTATTTGCTGGTGCAGGTTTGTGAACGGTCTGCAGATGAGACAACAGAGATTAGCTGTTGCCAAAATAGAGTTAATTCAACCTTGAGATGATCAAGGTTGGGATGAATGTCTTCATTCTGTCTTTACATGGATTTTAGCTCAGCGTTGTTTGATTTTGTTACAAAGTTTTGTATTTTGTATGTTAGGCAGTAGTTCAGCAGTATCCTTCAACTTTCCTTCAGGGAGTGGAGCGTTCCGGTGGATTCTTCTGTTGAGCGTGTCAATATTTTTCAGGAATGTGCCGTTTGTTACGCCGTGATCCTTGTCATCACAAATCTGCTGGGCTGTACTTTCTTCATGGGGGTCAGGCTGGTTGGGAGGGTGGGTGGGGGTGTTTCATCTCGGTCAGCAAATACATCTGATCTCAGTAGACCAAGAGGAAATCAAATACATTCTCAAGTAATTCATGCATTTCCTTATTCCTGAAGCATCTCCATTCTATTCAGATCTCAGAGTAATACTCTTGTGCCTCAGAGGAGGAAACGGATATTGATTTGTTTCTATACTCTTCTCAGATTTCACTTTTTATTCAAGTAAAAAAACAACTGAGACTCTTGGAGAGTTGCTAAGGGGTTCATGGGAGTTTGAATGTCCAGTCCTCATGTGTTTAGTGAACTTATGCCCCGTTTCCATTAGTACCTCTTAGTACCGGTACATCACGGTTCGACTCGACTCGATACGGTACATGTTGTGTTTCCATTATGCTTTCAGTACCGGTTCCATTGGGCGAGGTTCAAATTGACATCACGCGCCTCACCAGCTGGTGATGGTAAAACCTTGAAACAGATTTCAGTACAGGGTGAGCATCTATTTTAAAGTTTCTGGTAAATTAAAAAGAATACAGATTTTTAAAATGATCAAGTTAATATATATATATATATATATATATATATATATATATATATAGACAGACAGACAGACAGACATATAAATCCTGCTAATAAATTTTAATGAACTTTAGTTCACTATTAAATCTCTGATGAACCAGATTCTACAAAAAATCTATATTTAAAATTTTTATACCTTTTCTTCATCATTTTATGTATTTGCACTCATCATTTCTACTTTTATTGTTCAATTAGATGTGTGGTTTTCTGTCTTGTTCAGATTTTTAAACAATTTTAGCTTTGATTTAAAGTTCTTGTTTTGTGATTTGTACGTCTGTGGGTTAGAATAAAGTTGAACTAAAGGCTGTATCTCTTCTTTAAACATATTTGAGGGAAATATTCCTGAGAGACCCAATAATTTTGTGTCTTTGTGATTTTTCAGCTGAATTAACTTTTAGCAGAATATTTAATAGTCATTAAAGTGAAAACTGGATTTCATGTTAAAGCCAGCACTGTTTATTTTTTAACCTTCACTGATTAAAACATTTTTTTTTTTTTAAATATGCATAAAATATTTTTTTAATCGTTTCCACCATCCGTCTGCTGGGATCGGGGTTCGGCCTTCATGTTCACTCGAGGCCGGGGTCCGGACCCTGGCCTTCAGTGAGTCATCAGCTCGTATGATCCTCTGTGGTGACCAGTGAAGCTCAGAGCCCACAGAGCACGCAAGGTCGGCCCAGAGCCCGAGCCCCAAGTCGACAGCACAAAGGATCTTCCACAGGGACCGGCGGAGCTCCATCTAACTCCCTCTGAATTTTGTCATCGGCCATTAAGCACAAAAAACGCCTGCACTTCAGCATTAGACCACAGTGTTGTCATTATTGTTTTGAAAAGCTTAAAAATAGGTCCAGCCGCTCCTCGAGTTCGAACACCAGTAATTGCAAATGGCGGATCGAGTGTCGTGAAAAATTCTCAAACCCCTCTAGTGTCTCCGCCCCTTGATCAATCAGTGACAGACAGTGTTCTGACGTCAGGTTTTGGTGCCAGCTGGGCTCGCTTGGTACCCCAGAGAAGAAGGGACTAAAAAAGGTTCTGGTTCCACGAAAAAGTGCTAGTGGAGAAAGGCTCGGAAGCGTAGAGTCGTGCTGAAGAGGAGCTATGGAAAAGGCCTATAAGAGGAAGCAGCTGTGTCCCTGAGGTGTTTGTAGGGCAGCTGTGGGAGTCACTCTGGTGTTATCTGGTCGTCTTTATGGCTTAATCAAGAGATGTGTCCACACCCTCAACACAAAGCTGAGCTTCTGAGTCTGCCTCGTTTTCTCATGTGGGGAGTTCATGGTTGCCATATCAAACACCTTTCTCATCTTATCTTTACTGTATGCTGATGATGTAACGCTGTTGGCATCTCAGAATCATGTCTTTTAGTGTGCACTGGACCAGTTCAAAACTGATTATAAAGTGGCTGGGATGGGAAAATGCTTTTAAAGTCCACAGTTCTCAACCAGTAGGAGGTGAAATAATCCCTCCAGTACAGAATTGGAGGGGTTCTAGTACCTGGGAGTCTTGTTCGTGATCGATGGTACGATGGAGCGAGAGACGACAAAATGGTCCGATGCTTCATCTGCAGTAATGATGGTGTTGCTCCAGGTTGTTATGATGAAGAAATTGAGACAAAAGGCAAATCTCTCAAATTACTTATCTATCTATGTTCCAACCCTTACCTAATGTCAAGAGCTCTGAATCATGACCAAAAGAACGAGATAGGGGATACAAACAGCTGAGATGAGCTTCCTCTGTAGGCTGGCTGGCTCAGCCATAGAGGAAATGTTTGAGCTGCATCACCCAGTGAAAGTTGATGTTCTTCTGCATGGAAAAATGTTTTTCTGAGGTGGTTTAGGGGTTATCCACTTGGCAACAACATTTTTATGATATAAGCTGAGCACACAACAAATGTTGCCATTTAAGGCACTACAAAACTATATTAAATAAATAAATAAAACCGGTTAAAAAGTCTTGAAATGCTACCTTTGCAGTTCCTCTAATCTACCGGATATATGACTAGTGGCGTCCTCTTCTTGGTGGGTTTACATCTTGCACCTAGCCTGTAAGCTTTTTGCATATACGCTCCAAGCCTCGTTTTTTTTTTTTTTTTTGTATTTTTGTGGCAGATTTACTAAATTGCTGGCAGGTATGGTTTAGTCACTACAGCGTTTTGGCTTGTTTTAAGTGGTTCTGTGTGGATGGAGACAGTTCTTGAACCGATGCCATGATTAAAACTTTTGTTTTATCAACAAAAAGTATGATTTGGCAAACCTATACATGTGATCTTAAGGTTGTCGATTCAAATCCCCCTGCTGACCGAAAGCACCAAAATGATGGTGAAGGTCGACATCTGGCTCTACCATCATTTGCCACACTCTGGACCCTTGAGCAAGGCCCCTTAACCCTAGATGGATCCCCATTTAATCCTCTTGGGAGTTCACTCACTGTGGTAACCCCTGAAGAAGGAAGCAGCCAAAAGAAGAAGAAGACAATTTTTTATTGTGTGGATGAGCCATTAGACTACTGATCAGGATTCCTCCTGGTTGCATACCTGTGCAGGTGTCTGGGCCCACTGTGTGTAGGCCCAGACAGGATCAAAACCAACCAATGGAATTAAATATTGTCTCTGGCCTGGGAATACCTTGGGATCCTCAAGTAGGAGCTGTTTCGTTGGGGGGAGGGATATCTGGGCATGTGGTGGAGTCAGATTTAAAGTTGATTCAAAATCTTGGTATAAATAAAACATCTAAAAAAATGCTATAATTGTATTTTTGGTGTTTTTTTTGTCTCTCTTTCAGAATACCAGAGTACTTTTCAACATCCGTGTGGTGGGAGGATCACCGTTTTACAGCTACTTGTCACCTCAGGATGGGCGGCCGCTCCATCATCCTGCTGTCGACAGGTGAGCGCCTCAAAATACAGGAAAGATCCTGATTGTTTCCACTGGAGAGGTGACTTTTAATGCACACTAGTCTCTAAGACTTTAAATCCACTGAATCCAGGCCTGATGCTTTTTGACCAACACATTAAATGATTTTTTTGTCTGCTGCCTGAGCGGGTCTGAGAAATATTTATTTTCGAGTTTTTATTTTATGGGTGTTGATTACACTTTTTGCAGAAGTGTAAATCCTCTGCAGGACTCATCTTTGTGTCGTCTTTGCTGCGAAATTAGTATGAAAAACGTTCATGCTGTAACTTGTCCTGTGTTCCCAAAAGCTTCTTGGCAATTTTGAGTTTTGTAGTTTTTAGACTTTTTTGCACATTGCCAAGAGTTATATACTACTGAGCCCCGGAGGGGACATAGGGGATTTTTTTTTACTTTTGAGTTCCCTCGCAATACTTTTGCGTTCCCACGCAAATATTTTTGCATTCCCACGCAATACTGTACTGTTACCTCACAGACAGCAAACGTTCCTCCCTCAAATAAACTGGTCCAGATGACATGATTTCATGGAGTTTTTTTTTTTTAAATCAGCCTTAAATATAAGGATATCCAGTGTGTGCTGCAGTGGTAAAATTAGTTTTACTTTGGATATTTCACATTCATGCTCCGTGGATTCAGGGCTTCCTCGTTCAAGCCGACGCAGAGAGTCTGATTTCCTTCAGCTGCTCTCGGTCTGTCCCTCCTCCAAGGAGCGATGGTTCTCTTAGGGACTGTCAACAAATTACCGGGCTAATGAGCTTGGTCTGAACACTGTTATACTATTTTAGATATATTTCCAGAGTATTTGTCAAAGCAGCACCATGTATCATAAGTTTTCTCAGTATATTTCTGCATGTTAATAAATCATAAATTTTCTCACCATTTAAAATCCAAAAGAACAAGGCGGCACTTGTGTTTCAAAAGCACTGTAACTTTCTTTTAAAGCATCAAAGTTCATTCAAGAATCAAAGATTCAAGATTCTTTATTTGTCATTCGCACCACATGTGGTGCATGTGGTGGAACGAAACTTTGTACACAGGGTCCCAGTTACATCCAACAAAAGTATTAAAATGTGTGTAAAATAAAAAGAGTAATAAGATCTAAGATATGAATTAAGAAAATGTTAACTAAAAACACAAGCACACACTTCGAGAGGGCTTCACCAGTCTGAGGAGTCCCAAGTAAACTGTTTTCCCCACTAAGCAGTACACTCCTTTAGTGGACCAACCAGTTTGCTGGTTTTGCTGGTGACTGATGAAGCCCTCTGGATAGAGGGCGAAACATCTTTCTACAAAAAATAAACTGTCCAGATGACCTGACTGACCATTATTGTATTTTGTACCTGGATGATTGAGCATGAACTTTGATGCTTTAAAAGAAAGTTACAGTACTTTTGAAACACAAGTGCCACCTTGTTCTTTTGGATTTTAAATGGTGAGAAAATTCATGATTTATTAACACGCAGAAATATACTGAGAAAACTTTAGTTATGATACATGGTGCTGCTTTGACAAATACTCTAAAAATACAGTAATTTGTTGGCGGTCCCTAAGTGATCCATCGCTCCTCGTAGTGACAGACAGAGCAGCTGACTGAAATCAGACTGCCTGCGTCAGCTCGAACGAGGACGCCACCGCTGAATCCACGGAGCATGAACGTGAAATATCCAACGTAAAATTAATTGTACCACTGCAGCACACACTGGATATCCTTATATTTAAGACTGATTTCAAAATTCAGTTCAGTTTAGTTTATTTATGTAGCGCCAGTCACAAACTCCATGAACCTCAAATATGGAAGTCTTTTCCATTGCTGCTGTTGTCTGTGAGGCAACACTTCATACAGTACAGTATTGCGAGGGAACGCAAACATTTTTGCGAGGGAACGCAAAAGAAAAAAAAATCCCCCACGTTCCCTCCGGGGCTCCGTAATATACGTTTTAAATCAACTGAACTACATTTTGTTTCACACCAAATAAATTATTGTTTTATTCATGTATTACACTTTAATTGCATTCAAAAGCCAAGTATGAAATCTCTGAAAGTCTTCTTTAATAAGCTTAGATAGATTTTTATTATGCTAATTTTTTTCAATTCATTTTATTTACAACAAGTCACAACAAAAGTTGCCTCAGGGCACTGTACTAAAACATTCACATACATTAAAAACACAGTAAAAGTTATCAATCTAATGATACATTTTATGTGTTATTTTAATTTGATAGTTCATTTGTTACTTATGTAAGAAATTTGTCACATTGAAGATAAATATGTATTCATACAAGCCTCTACAGTCCACCCGGTAGTTATAAGAACAAAAAATGTCATCACAAAGTCCAAGCATTTTGTTTAGAGCGCTAGAGGAAAGCAGTTTGGAAGATTACCTGTAGATCAGAAAGAATCTCGGGGCAATAAGTCGAGATCACACTGTGCCCATGTGTGAAAATATTCAAAATTCAAGCAACAAGACTTGAGTGCCTCAGTGACTCGAGCAAGACAATTGACACAACATGAACAGTAAGATTGCTCTGCCCATGCAGAAATGTAACCCACGGTGCGCTAACCTCCAGCAAACAAACAATGTAGTTGTAATGGTGGAGGTAGTGAAGCTCACCGCGTTACCTGAGGCACTTCTGCCTCATCAGCCAACATTAAGGCAAAGAAGGCAAGAAAAAAACATTGTTTTCAAAGGTACTAATGACTTAAAATATTTACTGCAGTAGACATTTTCGTGCTGCAGAGCAACACAGCAATAATTCACAGTGAAATTCAGAATGCAGGAATGTTCAGAATCTAAGCGTGAGTGAGAGAGTGAATCGTTGTTTGTCTCGTTTGTCTCTATGTGTCCCTGTGATGGACTGGAGACCTGTCCAGGGTGTACCCCACCTCTCGCACAGTGATGGCTGGACATGGACACCAGTGACCCCCGCGACCCACAAAGGAAGAAGCGGGCGAAGATGATGGATGGATGGATGGATGGATGGATGGATGGATGGATGGAAATTCAGAATGTACTGTGTAAATTTGACATTACATTACGTTTTTAATGTGAGGGATAAAAGACATGTCCCGTGGTTAATTTGAGCCGGATCCTGCCACAACAAGATCGGGGAACTCTCTCATTTTGACCCGTTCTGTTCCGGTGTTACACCATATTCTGTGACCACTGTATATTGTGACCATAGGGGGCGCTGTAGCATTTTTACACCATACTTTGCAATATGTGATAAACGTTATCATATTCTGTGACCGTCTATATTTTCATAGTACTCATGATATTAGTGGTCAGATGTTACTTTTTATTCCTTAGAGGAAGTAGAGAGTCAGCAGAAACAGTTTGGCTCAAGTCTTTAATATTTTTCTATAAGTTACAGTGTGGTCACAATATCTGATAAACGCTATCATATTCTGTGGCCGTCTATATTTCCATAATAGTCATGATATTAGTGATCATATTTTACTTTTTATTTTTTGGAAGAAGGAGAGAGTCAGCCTCCTTCCTCCAAATAATAAAAATTAACATTGCTCACGAACATCATGACTATTATGGAAATGTAGACGGTGGTCACAGAATATGATAGCGTTTTTCAGATATTGCAAAGTATTATGTAAAAATGCAACAGTGTCCCCTATGGTCATAATATACGGTGGTCACAGAATATGGTGTAACACCGGCATTAATTAGTTTACAAATTAAGCCCTGGACATGTCCTCATCAAAAATAACACCAAGGTTTTTTTTTACATTAGAACTGGAGTAAATATTAATGCCACCCAGAGGAAATGAAAGGCTGTAAAGTTTTTTTCCTAAGATGCTCTGGTCCAAAAACCAAAACCTCAGTCTTGTTTGAGTTTCAAAGCAGAAAATTTAGGGTCATCTATGTTTTTATGTCTTTAAGACATGCTTGTAGTCTGAGTAACTGATTGGATTCATTGGGTTTCATGGACAAATATAACTGTGTATCATCAACATAAAAATGAAAATTTATCCCATGCTGTTTAATAACTTTACCTAATGGAAACATACAGTATATAAAATAAAGAGTATTGGTTCAAACACTGAACCCAGAGGAACTCCATGACTAACATTAGTGTATGAAGAAGATTCATTATTTATATTTACAAATTGGAATCGTGTCAGATAAATATGATTTAAACTAATTTAGAGCCATTCCTGTAATCAGCTAAATATTCACATCACATATCATCATATTCTCTGTCATAGAATATTATGATTAACTATCAAATGCAGCACTGAGGTCTAACAGGACCAGTGTAGACACCTGTCCATTGTCAGAGGCCATGAGAATATCATTAGTAACATTCACCAGTGCAGTTTCGGTGTTCTAGTGAGCTCTAAACCCTGAATGAAACTCCTGAAACAGACTATTTCTGTTCAGATGTTCACATAATTGATTTGCAGCTATTTTTCAAGAATTTTTTAGATGAATGTTAGATTAGATAGTCATTCATTTAACTATATGCTTTCAACCTTTATTTAAACAGGTTATTCTCACTGAGTCATGAGGACTCATTTACAAGAGAGACCTGTTTTAAACAGAAACCATGTGTGAGGTACCTGTACACACAACAATAAACATTCATATGAAAGCATATAAAATGACAAGTATATAAAAGAAGTAATATAAAACAAAACAAAAAAACATGATTGATAAATCATAATTGGCCAGAATTCCTGAATCAAGATCAAGCTTCTTAAGTAGAGGTTTAGAGGGACACATTTATCCATCCAGCCGACCATCCGTCCAGCCATTCATCCATCTATCCATCCATCCATTATCTTTACACGCTTCCAT